ATCGCTCGAAGTGTTGAAAGTCAGGCTGACATGAGATTGCAGTTGTCGATTTCTACAACCAAATCAACTTGCTCTATGGATCTATCACTGAGTTCTGCTCCCCGCAAAGCTGTCCTGAAATGAAGGCAACCGACGAGTAAGCCTATACTAAGCTCTTGATATGCGCGAAGCTAACCGTAGGCAGATTCGAGTACCTCTGGCAAGACTCCGAGAACTACAAAAAGCCTACCAAAATGCCCGCACCAGAATATATCGAACACCTCATGGCATGGATACAGTCCAACGTCGACAACGAGTCTATGTTTCCCTCACGCATCGGCGTACCCTTCCCCAAGACTTTCCCTGCTCTCATCCGGAACATGTTCAAGCGTCTATACCGTGTCTATGCGCATATTTACTGCCACCATTACCCTGTCATCATTGAGTTGGGTCTGGAACCACATCTCAACACCAGCTTCAAGCACTATGTGCTATTCATTGACGAACATGGTCTGGCCAGTGGAAGCAAGGACTTCTGGGGTCCGTTGGGTGATCTTGTGGAGAGCATGCTGAGAAGTGATTGAACGTCTCCAATTGCCTCGACAAAAGTGGCAGAAAGGGACTGGAGATGAGACAAGGCTATCATGCATAAAGAGCATATCTTGACGGCGTTGAGGAGCATTTACATTTTTGGCATGCACAGGAAGATATCATAAGCAAGTACACATGTTGACGATGTATGAATAGTAGCATTGATTCGGCATAATGAGTTTCAGCTTCAATGTGCGCATGCAACTCCATTGTTCCATCAATCGTGCTCGCGAACGCAAGCCATGCCCAGGCAGCATCTCGTATCCAAGTTGCTGAGCGTTTGACGTCTCATAGAAGTGGGTTTTGTCTGCGAACGTATAGTGGGGCAGAGTTCGTGTATCGGAGACTTGGCGGATAGTAGACATGGTAGCCGTTCATGCCTCCCTTCTCAACCAAACAGCCGCTCCATACTTGTATCCACGCATATCGGTCCTTTCCCAATTGCGAAACTGCAAACATCCTCTAGCTATGTTGGCGATGGCGATTGCTATATGACAAACACACTATTACGCATGGTCGTACTACGATGCTGACGACGTTCATTCAGCCGGAACAATGCTGGCACCTGTTCACAAACCAACCCTGCGAAGCATGCATTGTCTGCTCGAGTCTGGCCTCTGGTAGCAATATTGGGAATGCAACCAATCGGGTACGGCACTTCCATTTGCAGCTACGGCCTTCGACCCCTTCGAGATCCGCGTGCTCAGCGTGCGCGGACTTTTGCCAGCCTTCAAGGTTGCGTCACACGGCGGTGTGAACGGTTGCAGCTGAAGAAGCGGAGAAGTTCGTTTTGAACGGTCGCGAGAATAGCCGAGATGAGCCCTGGATGGGGGCAGGGCGGAGCGTGAGACATTGGGCAAACCTTACAGTCAACACAAAAGGGAACGCGGAGCAACGCACTGGGCGGCCCCAGCTTTGCACGACTCTCGGTTTGTCGCATCCTTTCCGGCATGCATGTAGACGGCATTGTGAACAGACACCGCGATTACCGAATTGCGGGGAGCGATACAACGCTGCGTGGGAAGTGTGGGGAAAACGAACCACGAGGCAATGACAGGGGCGGTTGTATAAGGTAAGACAATGCAAGTCAAGGCACCGGGTAGCTTGACAGGAAGTGGGAAGAGTGACAGCGGCTGTCTGACCTCTCAGATGCCATTACCCCGGGTACCGTTTCAGTACCCAAGCTCCGCCGACCCCTGCAAGGTGTACAGCATGATGGTTCTCGGCCTCGAGTATCAAAAGCAGTTTAATCTCTCTTTGCAGCCGGACTAAGAAAGGACCCCTCTTTTTTGGTATCCTTCAAATATCATTTCCTGGCACTGCGCGCGGATCATTCTAGCTAATAAACCATGCCATTCGGTTTCTACTTCGACTTCACATCTCTCATTCCGCAATGATGCCGCAACATCTCCGCAATATCGCCCTCACTATCGAGTTCTTCGCGGTCCTTGCGCGATGTGCACATCTCAACTACACTGGAGAGGCTGTTACGACTCGCTTCTGGGACTGTTGCAAACCGTCTTGTGGTTGGAATGGGAAGGCACAGTTCTCGAGACCGGTAGAATCGTGTACGGCCGACGACAAGCCTACGGATATCGCCGCCGGTACTGGTTGCAACGGCGGTAGTGCGTTTCAGTGCTCCAACCAGCAGCCATGGGCCATCAACGACACTCTGTCGTATGGCTATGCTGGTGTCTACATCACACCAGACCTCACACATGGAGGTATCGAGGACGCCTGGTGTTGCGCATGCTATCAACTCAACTTCACCAGTGAGCCTTTGATCGGCAAGAGCATGATTGTACAAGCCTCGAATACCGCCTACGATGTAACCAACGCGAATCGGTTTTCACTTGCAGTAAGCCATTGCAATTCGGATATTATGACTACAAAGCTAATCAACTTAGGTCCCTGGTGGTAACACAACGTCAACGAATGCATGCGCCCAGCAATATGGCGTATCTCAATCTGTCTTTGGTGAAAACATGGCGGGTGTCAAATCCATTGACGACTGCCAAAATCTACCCAAAAATCTAAGAGCCGGTTGCGAATGGCGCTTTGATTGGTTCAAAGACGCATCATATCCAAGGTAAGCATAATCTCAATCCAAAAGCTACATGACGTACATCGGCTAACTTCACATAGTGCAAATTTCAAACGGGTGGTCTGTCCTTCGGAAATTACAGCCAAGACAAACTGTATCCGTAATGACGATAAAGTGCTTGCAGGCGAGGCGTCTTCCGCTCAGAGCCTCACGCCTAGCTCTTCCACTATGGCTTTCTTCGTCGTCATCATACTGGGTTTAATATCGATATAGCATCGGTGACGCGAGGCTTTGCATCACGTTCTTCCGTTTTTACTATCGTCACGTTCTTTTGATTCCTCTCTGTCGTTCGTCTTCGTATGCTGACTGGCTGGAGATGTCAGATGATGGAGCTGGCTAGCCCATCTTCCATGCATGGATACCCTACCAATAAAAAGACTCGTGTCGGAACAGACAGCATACCGCGTCCAGAACAGCACGCAGTCGTATCTCCGCGATCTTTCCAGTGTCGGAGTCACCGATTATGTTGTTATGACTTCAATCTCCTTTCTTCGTATTCTCCCTTCTTGTTCATGAGAAGGGCTCTTGTATGCTATTACGATTGTGTTATTGCATAGCGACATCTAGTGGCGTTTTTTTGCAGCTATGGAGGCAGCGCAAAACGTACGTCGAATGATAAGCCTCTTTGTACTCGCTTGAAAAACACATGTTATGGCGTGACGTTGGAGGAAGATCTCATCAGGTATACTGTTAGTGCGAAGAATCAACCAGACCGGTTGGTGGAATTGAAATGAAGGCCCTTCGCAAAGTCAAGAAACCACCCAAATCGAACCAATTGACAAAAAGCAGACCTACGATAGTCGGACCATTTGCCGCCACCGTCTGCATCCTCCCTTGTTCACACGAATTGCTCATGACACAAATCGCCACGATACTCCTCCAGGAAAACGCCCTTCCCTACGCTATCCGAGAAAGAAAGCCGAGGAGGGATATTGTAAACGCCCTACGCAACGGCACCATCCTCGACTTCCGATCGCGTTCGCCCAGTCCACTCACTCGCCCCATCCCGCTTTTCATTTAGGCAAATGACACCACCGAACAAGTTTTCTGTATTTGAATCTTGCACATCCCCCGCCATGGGCGCGCGCACCGTACCGAGAAGAGAGATTATCCATATTGAGCCGCGGGCGCTAGGGGAAATCCGATATATTACATGGGCAACCTGTTAACGATACTAACGGACAAGTGATGAGCGAAGGCAAGAAAATGTAGCACTAGGGAAAGGCATGGAAAATTTGATTGTGAGGGGTCTTTGCCACTCAATCAGGGTTTGTGATCCGCGTTGTGCGGTGCAGTAAGATGAAAAAGAGGGTGGTGGAAGGAGGGTGTTGAGTGGAGAAGTCAACGACTTACCCCTCGCTTAGGCGCGGTGAGATCCTTTCCGTCGAATGCATTATCGCATGTGTGAGATGTGTGATTGTACGCAAAGCCGTTGACGGGCGTTCAGGTCTTGATCTTTCTTTCTTTCCTCTCAAGCTCCCTTGCTTTGCGCAAGGAGAGTCCTGCATAGGTACTGCTATGGAGGTGACCTATATGCAGATACCTCTCCAACTAGGTAGTCTTACAATCCTGCCCAAGTGGATGACCTTACTGCTTCAAGCAAGGTTTCCGTTGGATGATAGACGAGATTTGTGAGAAGAGACCTAAACCTCCGGACTCGCGAATCCGAGGTAATGACAATCGCCAACAAAGTTCGTGCTCGGTCTTTCGTTGTTCTGGACACGCTTGGCTGCAAGGTATCTTTGCCAATGTAACAACAAAAGTGCCATACACACAAAGACCATGAACAACGTTCGTAGCGCATCACCTCACGAACAATTTCATCGTAGGAAGAAGACTGCACTGGCATGGCGCGACACGAGACACGCGCTGACGCACAGGTAGCATGATCAGCAAACCACCCCTGCAGTAAGGAACGGCACGGATTGCGTCTTGACATGGTAAGTGCACTGCGACAGTTGGACCCCAGATTCATTGATGCGCACCCCTGCGGACAAACGGGCCTGAGCGCCGCGCTGGTGTGGTTGGGTGGGAGGCTTGGTCACTCTGGCGGAAAATTGAGACAACGGCATAGCGGATAGGGCGTGCGGGATTCGAAAGTGGCAGATACGTACCAGATGAACGACTGCCGACATGAGTGGTCTGGGCTTGCGACGTTTTTCGGGCCATCAGTTTTGCGGATCTAGGAAAGACGGGGACACTTTCCAGTATCTCACATCTTAGGAACACCATTCATAGATCTATAGAACAGTATTCGAGCGCAGACGTAACGGAGGATTCGGGTTGTCAATGTTTCAACATAAATTGTTCGTCCGCTATAGGATCACTATAACCTTGGGTATGGGTATATCTCATCATCATCTTCACCATCCTCGATACCTCGTAGCCTTGCGGGCGTCAACGGCGCAATTGGGCTGAGCGTCGAGTTTGAAAACCTTATTGTTGGGGTTGTCGGACTCAGCGTCGGACTATCCATACTCTTCCACCCAGCACCCATATCTTTGCTTTCAACGAGCGTCGGCGCGGACCCCAAACTACCCACACTCCGAACCGTCTCTAACAGGTCACCCTTCTCGCAGGAATCGGCCGTCTCATACCGATCCAAGCTATTTCTTCGCGATCTTGGAAAGTAACTTCGTTTCTGATGCCGTAATTCGCCTGTGGTGACGACTCGAGGCGGGAAGTCTTGTCGACATTCTCCTCGAATGCTGACGTCGCCCTTTGACCGCGTAGCCAGGCTACTTGAGAAGTCGTCCTGTATACAGGGGAGAATCTTCTGTACCACACGATTCTTTCTTGTGTAACGGCTGATATCTGAAGAGCTTGATCTGTTCGAATGTTGCCAATCACCACGAAACTCGCGTTCCATGGGCGTCGCTTTGGTTCGGAAGTTGAAGATCCATCGTGTAACGAGACCGCGGAGAATTGGTATGTTGGCTACGATGATGGCTACGTTGTTCTCGATGTGGTTGATACAGTAGTCGATTGGATATGTCCAGTCAGGGTTGAACAATGTGTAAAGTCGGTCGCGGTACGAAAGGTAGATTTTTGCAGCACCGATTGCAGTAACACTGTAGAAAGGTTAGTCGATCTGTCCAAGCAGCATATAGATAAAGCGTACGCAAGACTGCAGGTAAAGACTACCAGTACGACCAGGCGGGATCTTAGTCGAGCGCTCATCATCCTTCGTACGATGATGAAAGGTATCGGAAGGATAAGAACATCGGTGAGCAGATTTGCGCAAGTGACCCAGATTAACATCTCGCCCATTTTGTGTCTGCCCATGCAGTGCAACCCTCCGAAAGTTCTTGGTTTCCAGGTATTGCCTGTTAAAGGGGGACAAATGAATATGTAGAGGAACCATGGTATCAGGGCACTGCCAACGGTGAAGATCAAGATGGCGTAGAGTACCCGTTTGAGCCATTCGATGACTGAACCAGCGCGAAGGAGGAGAAGTATGATGGATGCTTTGACTAGCGGTAGTATAGGGATGTTCAAGAGATTGAATGCCATGACAACCTGTAGTAGTCAGTAAAAACAATCTAGCATGCTGAATTGGTACCGACAGCATAATACTCGTCGTAGTTTGGTTCTATCTCATCGACTGGTACCTGCCAGATATGTACACCCACGTGCCACATCTTAACATCTATTCAGAGTCAGTGAGACTGAACATCAACTCTCATTCTAGTACTTACGTCGATGTGACGGCCCTATGAGGGCTATTGATAGCAGCAACGGAAGTATGATGAGCCAGTCATCTGTTCGAATGCGTTAATATCGTTCACTTAAGACACATTGGCTATCATACCCCAGCTCAACCGTAGGTTCAGTTTCCGCCGCGTATATATCCTCAGGATGACGAATATCGATGCCAGGAGGGGTGTGCCGTAGATGACCCCCAGACAGGTGAGTTGGAGAGGATAGGTAGGCATCTCGACGACCTACTGTCAGGAACCCGAAGAAATCGCGAAAACCACATCTCGCGCTGCTTGTGGGTGGGCAATCTCATATAAACCTGGAAACAGGGTCGGTCAAGGGCAGCGCAACCCTTGTTCACTTGTGCGCGCCCGAGGCAGGCACAGCCGGTCGTCTCTAAACGTCCCCCGCAATTCGCATATTAACACTTACAGAAACGAGTTAAGCAGAGGCCCTTCTACTTGCCCCACGGTCTAGTCTTCCGTCGGTCACACTCACGTGGATCTGATTGATAGCTACACTATACACCTGCCACTCAAAAGGCTTGGTGTCGCTATGGAAGCCGGTCGTATTCCATGGTGCGACAAACATGACATCCCTCCTCCCGTCTACCTTGACGAATTCTCTTACATGAACAGTGAACCACATACGAGTTGGCTGGTTTCCGACGCCTCGGGAATTGTGCAGCCGGACGGTATCAGAGTGGGCTCTTCCGCGATTCGGTTCGTGGCTGTCAGAGACGTGAGAAGTGGGTGTTGTGCAGGCGCCAATTGTTCTCACGCAACCTGGGGCCCACCAGCGCTAGTACGGAGGACTTGGTGTAACGTATTCTTCCTGGAACCTGGACCGATCACAGCGTGTCGAGTAGCCGATCCCTGTTGTGAGCGAATCTGGGGCCGCCGCTTAAAGTGCATGGCCCAATGAAGGGCGGCGCACATAGTAAATGCGACGCAGCGAACAGCACATAGCGTGTGGATGCCCACAAGCAAGAAGATGAGATATGGTAACGGCGCAATTTGGCAATATACCTTCGGAGCTAAAGGATTCGTGGTGGGTCACGCCGTGAATGCGTGGAGATTCCAGGAGCTTAGGCCTGTTCAACAGGTATCACGTTCCGGGGATGTTTCGAGAAGACACATTTGGGTAACGCGCCCTCGATGCGACGGCGGAAGCTACTCGGCCCAAGACCGTTTCAGACCGTTACACTGACGTTCCCATGCGTGCTCATTGTAGATCGCCATATTGGACACCTTCATTTGCTATCATTGCGACAGCGGAGGTCGGACGAACAAGATCAGGAAGCAACTGCCGACGATCTGTGCGTTCTTATATTGTGCCGCTGGCGGTCAGCCTGACTGTATGAGGTCATTGGCTGGCGGGGCAGCCTTTTGTCACGTTGAATCGTGAACGACAATGTAGAGAGTGCGATTGCGTGATGACCGAGGTTTTCATCTCATGGCGAGTCGAACCTGATTAGGTTCCTCCATCAAGAGCGCGGTCATGGCATGTGAGGCCACAACACACATGCATGTGTGCCGAAGCGGACCTGCAAGAGAAACACCTGAAATGACAGAGGACGTTATGGGACTATGGAGTGAAGCACGAAGAGTGCTTGGTAGAAGGCTCAATTTCTATCTAAGGAGAGACCGTCAGATTAGCGCAATGTTAGCCATCACCGCCCGGTGAATGACATGTTTGTCGCGATGGACAAACCAAGCTTTCACAGTAAATTACAGACGATCATAAAGCTGCACATCTGAGATGTGTTTATGCGGCGGCTTAGAAATGTATCGTGTCTACACTGATGTATCTTTGGATTGGCCAGGATCAACTTTGTGATGATGAAGCGTTCTTTCAATATGAAGCTTCATATTTTAGTACCTGATTCATTCAGTATCTGCACGTCAGCTTCGAGTCATCAGTCGCCAGTTTGGGGCGACAACATGCTAGGAAATGTCTTTCGGTGCTACTGAGGGCTCAACGTAGGTCTCCCGTTCATCGAAGAGCGATCCCAATTTTGCATTCCCAACCACTATTTCCTTCCTGATGCGAATGTCGCAATCATGTACGGTACCCCACTGGCCATCCCAACACCAGCCCCACCGAGTATGGCGTGGCCCAGCCTTAGAGGCAAGCTACCACCTCGTGCAGCGAACATAGCCCCAACAGCTCCTCCACCAGCGGCGCCAAGTGTGACCCAATCTGTCTTCACCTCCCCATCATTCTCCAGTATTCTCCATGAACGATCTTTCCATTCTATTTCCTCTCGACCCCTCATACGTCCCCAAGTCATGAGTGCACCAGCTGCTGTGCCTAAAACCAGTCCGCGACCAGTTGTTTTGAGTGTACGAGACAGTATCGTCTTGTAATCGACCGATATTTTGCGGGAACGAGCTGCAACGACGGAGATCGGAAACTGGAAAAGCGAGAAGAAAGAAAAGGACATGGCTGAAGCGCGCATGACGTGTAGGTAGAGGATGCTACGTGCATATGGTTGATCTTCGGCGTATTGTGGATGTGGGAAGAGGGATGTCATGTTGTTGTACGTTTCGCGCAACTCGTCAAAATTCGGATTCGAGGGTACAGAGTCAAATGCAGCCAAATGCGATCTTTGATGGACGGGCTCTGAGAAATGGTGTAGGCTTGTAGGGCCTCGCAACGTGCCACGAGGTAAAGAGTCGATCCGAAGGAGTTTTCTAGGTATACTCTGTACAGATTGTACGAGAGCGACACAATTTATCTACATGTATGTGAGCATTCTCGCTGTCCTTGCGCCCCGGTGCAAAGTTGAAGTCGGAGACAAAACGAAGCCGGTCGCGATGAGTTTCGGCCGCAAGTAACATTGCTGCCTGCTGTCTCTTTACGATAAACTTGACTGGCTGTCAGACGATGGCAGTTTTCTGCCAATGATGTTCCGGTAAGCGCTGCGCTCGCATTCCGTGGCTTGCGGTTCTCTCAGGCGTCCTGCGCGCCTGGCTCTGGAATCTCCGTCCTCCGAATCTGCCCGTACCAAGGCAGCCTCTGTAAAGAACATTCTGCATCTTTGCATCTGTTTGCACACGACAACGTCGCAATGCCCAGAGCTTTTTTTCGAAGATCCTTGGTACGACATGCGTAGGAAGAACCTTGGAAGATCGCTGTCAAGTTAACAGGGAAGTTCATAGCCAAGCCGATCGAGAGCAATTGTCTTCGCAACATTGGCAGGCTCTCGTGCAGCTGTTGCCGAAGAAACTATGCCAATGAGGCGTTCGTGATGCTTCCCCGGATAACGCCTGTGGTTCCCACATATGGGGTTGGTACTTGCTCAAAAGAGGCGGAGAAGGCGATAACAGAGCTGCGCGACAGCGATCTGACACGGACCGAATCGTGGCCATGCTTTGAATCACGAGGAGCAAGTTGGCGGTTGCGCAATGCAAGATTTCCTGAAGGCATTGCGCGTTATTGTTCCAAAGCCGCCTGACGTCATTCCGTCTGTTGATCCATAAATGCACCACTGCAGCACAGACGCTGTAGGCACTACCACCAAGCTCGCATCACCTTAGCCGGACTCTAACGAAATCTACCATCACCGGCACCTAGCAATACGAAACAAACAAAGATCCCAACCAGGATTCAACCCCAATCGTCATCATGCCCATAGGCCAACAAGAAAGCGGTGTGACCTCGGGCGTGAAGTTTGTCACGTCCACTGTAGGCAACACGGTTGGCGGCGTTACGAACACTGTGGGAGGTGTTGTTGGCGCACTTGGTCGAGGTGTTGGTGAAACGGTAAATTAAATGCCACTAACTGCATTCGAAGCATATACTGACTTTGGGCGCCTTTGCTTAGCTTGAAGGCGCCACGGGCAGTGCCGGTCGGCCTGTTGCGAGAGGTATTTCTGATGTTTCCACAAGCATCGAAAAAGGCGCAAACGACGTAGCAGGAGGCGTGAAGCGCGCTGGGGAGGGCAAATGAGCGTCGAGCAAGGATTACGCAAGAGAAGGAGATACTGTGGCGGTCTGAGGCTGATATCATGTTGCCACTATGCCATGCCGTACAGTTGGAGAGCGGAGTGCAATACAAACAGCTACAAGATGCTGCCAGCATGTGATTTCACGTAATCTAGCGCTACATATCTCGCAAGGTACTTGCGACCCGACAGTATGCTGCACTAACTCTAATCGGCTTCGCAGGCATTGTGATCAGACATGTGTCCAAGACTGCGTTGCCGAAACAGTACGCCGAAGTGGTCTGCGCTTACAAGATGCGACGTCTACGAGAAGCTTTCCGGATGCTTCAGATTCCTGTAGCCGAGTACACCGAAGGTTCTCCACAGCATGACGATCTGTTCGGATGTGTCAATCCGAAAGATTATCTTGCCATATACAGACACACGAGCATCGCACGCAGAACACAACCATGGCGCAGTCCGCAGACAACCAGCTTCTGCATCGGAGTTCCAGTCCAAGGGACACCGAAGAGAAGTAAGGAGTCCTTGTGGAGACTAAAGTATAGGCTGGCGCGTCACTGTTCCATGGACTAGCTGAAGGGTCCATCCATCGTGAGATCGTGATCGCCGAGGCCGAATAACCTCACCAACACAGACCCGGTCGGCTCGGTTCGCTGTAATGCATTTGTCGCGGTGTTAGATGTACATATGCGTGTCTGCGAAAGGCAGGAGCTGTGCGGGGTCAGATGATCAAGTCCGCTTTCGTCACTCGCTGAAAAGCCTCACCGTGTCACTGACGGAGTGAGAAGCTGCAATAGGATTGACTACTGATTGTTAGTTGTCCAGTACGTGCAGAAGCTTAGCGCCATCGTTGCGGGATATAGCAGCACAAAGGGCGGAGGAGTGTAAATCCGTGTGACGTCAGTGGTACGTGTGACATGCGCGTCCCATCTTAGGTACGTTCGACCATTGCAACGTCTGCATCTACACATCGTAGCTAAGTGTAGTCTTGGTGTTTCGAAATGCCGTGTTTTCATCGCACAGTATTCGCACCAAGTCGACCAGTCTTTTTGAGCGATCTAAGCGGCTTCTGGAATTAACCCGCCAACGAAGGCAAATGCGCCAGCCAGCGTACCAGCCAGCCAGACAACAAGCGGCACACTATCGGTATGCAACCGCGAGGCCAGCGTACCAGCCCGTCTTAAGCGTTCCCAAGCAACGGTTCCACTGGAGACGGTGGATGGGGCGGCTGAACACACTCTAGAAAGCGAAAGCCACATGTACCCCACAAGTGCTGCGCTAGTGCACGTAAGCGTCATGCCGGATTGGGAACCAATCTTTGACATCACTTAGGCATTTATCGCCTCGACACCAATCCCATCGAGCACCATCCTTGCATTTTGCCTCTCAATAGTCCGATTGAGCGAGCTACATCCTCACCACACACCACCCTGCAGATCCTCGCGCATGACTGCCAATGAGACAAGATGAAGTGATGAACAACGACGCCCCGCCACACTCCGCCTTGAGGCCTACGGAACGCACGCATATTGCCCTAGGTCAGACGCTAGGATGCACCGCGGAGCGATCGTCCTAAGCCTACTGATACGAGACTTCGGTTCAGCACCTGTCTTGGATGTTGCATATTGCGGAAAAAGCTCACAACATTCGAGATTTGCAATACCCAAAATCTCACCGGCCGTGATTACGAGCAGGTCATATCAATTGGACAAGCAGTAACTATTCATCCACAGCTTCCAAATCAATGGCTGCAATTGCGTCCCGAAGTTAATCGAGGGCTGGGAATGAGATATGTTTAGACGAGAGGCGGGACGGGCTTTGTTCACGCGCATTCCCAGAGAGATGGTGGGGAACTAAATGAGGGGTCGGATGAATGGGTGTCCAATGATACAGTAGATGGCTCCGCAGCGTTTATCGTTACGGCATGAACGAGCCTACTCCAGCCTTCTTTTACTGCCTTCAGAAGCGTCAACGCTAGGCTGCTGTAGTTTTGCATTGACGCGTGGAGTTGATCCATGGCCTTGGCTCGAGCGCTGAGGCTTCTGTCCATGTCCGATCTGCGATAGTATGCTCGATGAGGTAGATTGAATAGACTAACAACTCGGTTGGGTATTGCTATATAGCTGTCTTACCATCCCGCGTTTCTACATACCCAGAACATCACACACTCTCGTTGTAGTGAATACCAGCATCGACAGTCTTGCTTACTTGTATATTTGAAGTGACTGATACCTCGTTCATCAGTCTCCTCCGCGTCGTTACTTACTCTCGCTGTCAAGTACGCCCAATACACTAATACCGACAAAACCACTTCCGAAAATGAAGTCCTTCGTTGCTGCTGGCCTCGTGGCCGCTGTCGCTGCCTACCCCCAGGCCTCTTCCGATGGTGGGTGTGCGTCCTCCGCTGACGGCACCTTTGCCATCACCACCGTCAATGCCACCCAATCTGCCACCAGGCGCAGCATCGAGAGGCGTCAGCTTGATGGCACACTTAAGCTGTCCCTTGAAGACGGAAAGTTGACCGACCAGGCCGGCCGCACTGGTTACATCGCCGCCAACTACCAGTATGTCTTGCATAATACTTGGATACATTCAATCGATACTAACGTCCCATCAGGTTCCAGTTCGATGCTCCTGTCCAAGCTGGTGCCCGCGAGACTTCAGGCTTCGGTCTCTGCAGCAACGGATCCATGTCCCTGATGGGGTCCACTGTCTTCTACCAGTGCTTGTCTGGCGACTTCTACAACTTGTACAGCCAGTCCACCGGTGCCCAGTGCATTCCCATCCATATCCAGGCTACCATGTCTGCAGACACTAGCGGAGTCTCCCAGATCTCCGACGGCCAGCCCCAGGCTACCTCCGCCGCTGTTACCCAAATTTCTGACGGTCAACCCCAAGCCTCAACCCCCGGTCCCGTCGTGACTCAGATCTCTGACGGCCAGCCCCAGGCCTCTTCGCCTGTCGTCACCCAGATCTCTGATGGCCAGCCCCAGGCTTCCGCCCCGGTCGTCACCCAGATCTCTGACGGACAGCCCCAGGCTTCTGCTCCCCTCGTTACCCAGATCTCTGACGGCCAGCCCCAAGCATCTGCTCCCGCCAGCAACGTTAGCGGCAACGCTACCATGCCTTCCATGCCCGAGTACACCGGTGCTGCCGCCACTGGCGCTGCCAGCATTGGTGCTCTCGCTGCCGGTTTCTTCGCCCTTTTCTCCCTCTTGTAAGGGAATTCAGCTTGAGATTACTCGCGCCAAACAGGGATTCAGGTCGCTCTGACGATCATGTAATGAAGGTTATATTGGAGGATGATACGATTTCCTTGCGACGTTCCTTGATGACTGCATGCATATATGACATCCATGTACATACCTAAAGCATAGGCGGAATGGTGTTTGGATGATTGTATTCGAGAAAAAGGCCATGACTTTAGCTAGTTCTATAGGTAGTACAGCGCCACCATGCGACGAAGATATTAATGCAACCCGATCATAATATCATACGAACTTGCTATATTGTGGCATATTCTCTCGGCAGGTTAAAGTCTTGTGTGTCTGCATCCCAAGTCGTGAATTGTTGTTTACAATCGTTCGATGCTTTTCATCTCGGTCCCTCGCAAGCCATTGCGGTCACCGAGCGAAACAATCCAACAGAATGCACTCTGCGCAACGCTGCAAACATGCATTTGCTGCTTCAACATCCTAATCACCGTCTTGCCCATCTCACCTTATGCTGTTACACCAACGACTGTATTCTGGAGTACACTGTTCGATTGCGTATATATGCACCCACAAAGCCCAGTTTCGTGCATGTGTTTCTGTTCTTATCCCTGCAGAGTAAATACTCGATTTCCGGCAAAGTAAAGATCGTCTCTAGGTTTCATTATTAAAGTGATAAGTGGTATGTAAGCAGTAGCTGACTATGAAATCAACTTCACGTCATGTCCAATCCATCGATTATTATCCCTTCCATCTGAAAAGCCATAAATATTCAACTAAAACAACAAGTGAAAGTCTTCTAACCACCGTCAAACAAACAAGTCATTGTCGTTGAGCAAAAAGGAAATATCAAGACCAACGTCGTCAACATCCACCCTGCATGCACTCTCTGTCCCTGCTTCCCTGGAACCATTAGCACACAGCCCATCTGACAGCTCACTCCGACAGCCACTAATCGCTTAAACAACGTGTCGAACCAAGAAAGATTAGGTTTCATGTCGCGTTATCGATTGACACGCATGCATACACTAGATTCGTTGGGAGCATGCGCCGTCTGGTGCACTATCTTCAAGCGTACCTAATGGAGTACTCTTTAGTCTTGTTGGAGGTATTAATAGGCTCAAGATAAGGCTAGATCCACTAGCTGTGGCGGTGCGAGATTCTGCGTACCGTCTTTCGTTTCCTTCCATCTCGCTTGGTGGCGGGTCTAGATTGAGTTCGTGGTTCAGAGTTTTGCTCAACGAACCAGTGGGTGATTGTTGCAAGTATCGAGCCGAGGTCGCAAAAGATTTGTAAAGCGAAAGTGAGGTCATTTCCTTGGGTCGCTACGGTGCTGTCACGCTTGCGCCCTTTGTGTGAGACTGATGCTCTATCAAGACCACCTCCTCGCAGCTTCAGATTCTTTTCTGCACGTTCAGGAAGTGCGATTTTGACGTTTTGCCTATTTGCTCATCGCTTCATCGGCCCTATTACCCAAGATTTGCTTATCCTAGAAGCGGTACGCAACTGGACGATCGTAAAGATATGCACGTTTCTTTTGAAAACCAGTTCGTGTGCCAATCTGAATGTTGCTCTGAAAGGTGTAAATCAACCAGTTCGCTCGCACCTACGATCACCGAGTATAAGAGGATGGATGTATCCCTCATACATCACTCCCGTCAGCCTTCCCGTCTGTAAAGAAATCATTCCTTCGACATTCCTCACTCACCTTGTACTATCTCCTCTTCGCTTAAAGGACCACAGGAAGAGTTCGACAGCAGCAGGAATAACTGTCCCTGGTGAACAGGATACCAACAGATTGGGGTCCAATCTACAACTGTGATCTTGATTAGGCCTTACACAGTGTATGCCGCTGTATTTCCTGGGTCCGCTCCTGGTCGGTACGATCTCGTTTCATACGGATATCAATCTTGATACGTGCAATGCAATATCATTCCAAGAGCTAACGCCAACGCCCATAAGAGTACATCTAACATACGTTTGACAATCATGTTTTGTACTTGCATCTAGCTCGTTCCGTCGAAAGAGCTAAAGTGTCACATGCTCTCCCTCTGCTTTCTGTTCTGCTTTGCGCCAAACTGACATCCTTCTGGTTGCTGGAGGTTTGCACCTAGACATACTGGCTCAACCACCTGATACCCTCTCCGTAACCTTGCCTCATGACCACACTGCACATGAAGACCTCAACCGGTCGAATACCCTCGAGTGGTACCTTGCCCTTACCTGTTGTCTGGTATAGTCCGAGCGCGGAACGGAGCTGGTCCTCAGAGATGGCGTCGGGGTGGTCAATCTTGTTTCCGAGAATGACGAAGGGGGTGTTCTTCAACTCTTCCATAGCCAGAAGAGCGTCGAGCTCTGCTTTGGATTCGGAGAGACGCTCGTGGTCCTTAGCGTCAACGAGGAAGACAATACCGGAAACTTCAGGGACTAGAAGAGTGTCAGTTATATGCAAAGAAACAGAGGAGCATAACTGGCTTACAGTAATCGCGCCAGAGTCGTCGAGCTTGTGCGTGGCCTCCAAGGTCGAAGGTTGTGAACTTGACGTTTCCTATCGAGAGCTCCTCGGAGGTGGGGTGGAGAGTCGGCTGGCTAGAACAAATGTGAGCTGACGGTTGTGAGGCAAAGACTATGTGCGACGTACAGGACAGCGACTCTGTCGTTCTTGAGCATATGTAGAAGCCTAGTTGTGTTAGCGGAAGCTCGCGTGTCCAGTTGGGCTGCCATACGTGGTCTTTCCTGCATTGTCACTGAAGCCTAGTCAGCTACGTGTTTTCGAAAGGATCAGTATGCGAGGATACATACAGTCCAAGGAAAAGGAGTTTGGCGTGCTGTGATGTTGGGTCAGCTTCAGTGATGGAGTCTAGACCATGCTCGTGCCTACCTTGTTCATGAGTCCAAGCGAGGACAGAACATCCCAAACTGTTGCACATCATCAGCCCATGTTCGAGTACGATACAAGCAAGCGATTGATCCATCTCGCTGGTGTTCGTGGTACATGCGGTGGTGTAGTGTCGATGCGCCCGTGATAAGCCTAATGTTGGTAATTTCAAGCACAGTGTTGCAGGGCTTGGTCGGAAAGACACAACAGTATCATGCGGAACGACGGTACTGTCCTCAGTCTATCATGCCACGAATGTTTCCACGTCGGTCTGTCCAGGTCGGGATACAACAAGAGAGGGTAGTAAACTTACACCTGGCCCAAGGTTAGTCCGACGCCAGCACAAGTAGAGGACGAGGGTGCTCACCAGTCAATGATCCACATGTTTGCGAGAAGTGTTCGGGTTTAGACTGTTGGTTGGGAGTATGACAGCAAGCTGTAGAGAGTGAACGGGTAAGATCAATCAATGTTGGGGGAACTTGGCCGCGATCGAGGGCGGAAGTTGAATGGCCCGTGCGCGATTTCCTTGGCGGCGCTGTTCCGAGCTCTCGCGAAGAACTTGGACATCAACCCTCCCGAACTAAACCCACCGCATCCCCGTCTAAATCCATCACAATGGCCGTCGGAGTACGTCAGACCCCTTCCAGAAGATCCGTCGAAGCTCTCGAATGTCCCATTGCTGCGCCGGCAGTAGCCCCTCGCCCGCAATGGCACCTCCGAATTGAAGATCAAGAAAACTAACATGTCCCCTCTTGTAGCGTAGCGCAGCCCTCAAGCTCGACTGGACCAAGCTGGGCACCCAGCTCGGCCTCAAGGGTCAAACCGCTGCTGCCCTCCAGTCCTTCAAGAAGCGCAACGACGATGCGCGTCGCAAAGTCACCGTCCTCTCCGAGCAGTCCCAGACCGTCGACTTCAACCACTACCGCGGCATCCTCAAGAACCAGGCCGTTATCGACGACATCGAGAAGCAGTTCAACGCTTTCAAGCCTCAGACATACGATGTAGGAAGGCAGATCAAGGCCATTGAGGCGTTCGAGGCCCAGGCCGTCCAGAGCGCAGAGCAGACCAAGGCTGTTGTCGACAAGGAGTTGAGCGATCTCCAGAAGACCCTGAAGAACATCGAGGATGCCAGGCCATTCGCTGACCTCACCGTTGTACGTATATACGGTTACGAGCAAGTGGGGGACAAGAAGCTAACCAAACAACACAGGACGAGGTCGCCGCTGCTCAGCCTGAGATTGACAAGCGCACCGAGCAGCTCGTCTCCAAGGGTCGCTGGGCCGTTCCCGGCTACAAGGCAAGTTTATGGAACCAGCAAAATGGCCTTTATACGAATACTAACAACCCCGCAGGAGAAGTTCGGCGATCTGTCCGTCCTCTAAGAGTCTTCTTTCCATGTAGCCAAAATGTACCCGATCTGGGTTGTATTACCTACGTATTTGTGAATAGTTCCAGAGAGTGGAAATGCACCCTAGATTTTGACCATTCGCCTTGTTATGCCTATGCATTGCTCGAATATCGCTTACATGCGAGCACCTCGGAAACAATATGCTACAGTTGGCACGCCTTTCGCTTGAAATGTTGTGTTTCATTACATGTGCATCCAAAACCGCGAGATACCACTCCTCCAAGCGATACTCGAGTCACCTCGCTATAATGCCATTTCGAAAACGCCGCCCAATGCTCATCAAACACCCTTGATCTTACACACCAAGTGACCCCACCTAGACTACTCATCGTACTCGGCATCCCTGACACCACAAAAGTCACTGCCAAGGCAGTTATCCACCATATACCAAACCCGCCAATACAGACTGGCACTGTTCATATCGAAACTTCCGTCTTCCTTTCGCGGCACATGATCGCCTATAAGGCCCTGCCCCGAACCAATTACCCAGCCAATGACCGGTAACGAGCCAAACGTTTGCTGCCAGCGGGGTTTCGCGGGGAGGAATGCCTTTTCTTGTGGAAGGAACACAACAGGTTTTACGTTTGCGCCTTTGAGTCGGAGGGTTGCGCGTTGAGACCGGGGGTTCAACGCTGTAGTAGTTGCTTGTGCGGGGACGGTATTTGGATCAAGAGCTTGGTGCATTTCTCGTGGTTGAGCGGGCTCAGTGGGCATGTCATCCATGTGACTTGGGAAAGCACCAGTGCCACTCTTGCTGCGTAGCAAGGCTGATTCCATGTTTGATCGTGGTCCAAGGGTTTGCGGTGCTAGAGGTTGGGAAGCTGTTGCTGTGGCTGAGGAAGCGGTTGCGGACGACTGCGATGCGCCGCGTAGTCCTAATGTCCCTGAAGATACTGTGTTGGGTGATGCGATCTGTGACATGCCTCCCTCTACACGCAACGGTCTGTCACCACCTTGTGGTCCTGTTCCCCGGTACATCTCCGCATGTACTATGTAGCCGTGGATGTTCTTCCCACTGTAATGACAGGCGCGCTCGGCAGCCTCCGCACTATCAAAGGTGACCTTAACCCAGTGGTTACCTCCTATATATGTCTTGATCCTTGCCATGTATTTCGGTTCCAGAGATGGATAGTACGAGGAGCGTTGCGCAGCTAAACTGTAACCGAGTCTGGGGTTGGGTGGCTCGCGGTCATATTCTTCGTAGATCATCCCATTGGAAACCTTCTCGTAATATGCTATTGCTTCCCATTGCTGCTCAGACCCAAAGCCGTATAGTATAACCTCCTTGGGTTCTTGTGCAAATGTAGCATTGGTAGACGCGCCTGCAGCGAAGGAGTTGCCCAGTCCGTTGCTCGCATCTATGAGGTTTGGCGCCGAGGCTGTTGGAGGTAGTGCGGTGGACGGGCGCGCGGATACTGAGCGCCTTTTGTCTTCCTCTGCCTTGAAGCGGCCGAATATGTCGTCTTCTGCGCGCTGGTTGTGGAGTCTCGCTTCGTCGGCTGCATTGTTGGCGCCCAACGGCGTCTTTGCCCGTGAGGTACCGCGTTTTCGTGCTTTGCCAAAAGGGCCTTTTTCTTCTGGAATGCGCCGTTGGTTTTGATCTGAACTATCAGGGGTGGATGTTAGCTGTGTGCGCGAGAGGATGGGAGTGTCGCAGTTGTGGTCGTCCATAGTGGTGAGGCTGAATAGAGAAAGGGACAAGCTTGTGTAGATTTCCATCGAGTTTTCTCTACCACCGTGCTAGATCCTTCCACGAGAAAGATGCCCATTCAGCAATGGCAATGAAAGACTGACTTACTCCGCAAACTCATACGCCCAAGGCAGCTTCCTCCCTGTCGAATCGAACGCACGCTCAGAGTCTGGCACTGCGTGAACCTGCATCTCGGAGATGTTTGACCTGATGCTTCTTTAAGTTTTCACTTTTCGATTTGTCGCGAAAGCGCGTGGTGTAGTAATCCCGTCTTTTGTTTATGCGACGAGAAGACGAGCGGAAAGTTAGCGCTAGCCCCAGGGACGCCGCGGCAAAGCCACCTGAGGTCTGTGCATATTACGTGTGGCGCTGGCGCGATCTCCAAGGTGACGCGGAGCCTTTCCCGATCCATCTACCTTGCGTATGCTGCATGCAATCGGAAGTGGCTTACTTTTGAGTGCTGCCTGGTCACAACGGCCAGTTATGAGCCGATGGAACTCACACCTATCATCGTACGTGGCAAGAAAAGGAGACACTTGCACCCAGCACTTGCTGCTTCTAAAAGCAAGCCTCCGTCAATATCTGCACAAAACTCTTCAGCATCTACATCTCAGCTCAAACGACAACGAAAAACGAGGTCAACATCCTCAAAGAAAGACGTCACGCCCGCCATGCCGACGCTTCAAGGCCTTCCCCAGGAGCTACTGGAAATAATCTTCCTCTACAGCATGAACACAGCGCTTCCACGCTGCTCACCGGATCTTGGCAAGAAGCTCTCTGCTCACAAGGTAGCGATGGACTTCACTATGCAAGCCTTCTTTCACACAGTCGATCACCGCACCAACTACCGGGACCGCCTTGTAACTAGCGACGCTTTGCTTCAATCTGACATCTTGACTTGCCGTTTCTTCACCTACGACTTCTTCCTAAGATATGTGCAGCGCGCCCAGGATGCAATGATCAAATTACGCGGCAAGGCCTGGGCAGCTACCGGAGTCACGATTCCAGGTGTTTCCTACTTCGACGGACTGTGGCCATACAAGTTTACTAAGATCCCGCATCTGGCTTTTGCGCAGGGTTTCCATGTACCGGAGAAGTTGCTACATGGACCCTGGACTGTGGACAAAGCGTCGTTGCTTTACGTACTGGTCAGTCTGAACGGAGAGATCGACTGGGAAGGTAGTATGGCAGGTGAAGCGGCAAAGGCGGGAATCAAAGAGGCTATCAAAGAGGAGAACGAGCACGCGGTGGCAGCGCTTGCTGTACTTCTGGGTGTGCCAAAAGGTCTTACTACCGAATTACTGCAGTACGCTGTCATTCGTTGCGGTTGTAATATCAACATCATCCGACACTTGCTCTTCAACGCGCAGATTCTTGCCGAAGAGGCCCCAAGCACTTTGGATTTCTATGACCCGGCACTATGGGCGTGGGCAGATGTTAACGGCCACAAAGGGGAGACGCTCAAAGACATGCTGAAGGATGCTGCCGCGTTCGACCTCGAGTTTTACTTCGAAGACAATGCCGACTGGCCCAAGATTGTCCCCTTTCCGTATGGTGGGAGCAAGTTTGATGCAAGGACGGCGTTCAATGGTGTCGTCAGAGAGCTATTGACGAACCTTTACCGGAACTATGGAAGGAAGATCACACGGAGGAGGGCTATGACGCCTGAGCAGAGAAATGCAGAAGGTGATGTAATTGACGATTAATGCTGGCAGTTTATATACCTAAAGATAGAACAGATACCCATCAAATACTGCTTACCTTTACATGAAAGGGGCAGAGCATTACAGATACAAATCACTTGGTCAACGCTTTCCTCGCAGAGGATAAATATCGCGGGCTACTAATACAGCAACGCCTGCTTGATTGAAGCAGTGTCGGGTCATGGTTCAACTGCCGGTGGCGCATGCTGCAGTTGGCTGCGATAGCACATGGATTTAGATAGAGAATTTACCTGCAAGCTTGTTAGTAAGTTGTATCCAACTGAGCGTTATTGAGCAGATGCGTAGTTGTGGTCTTCCTCAGTGATCTTGGTGATAAAATAGTAATCATAGAGATCATATACTATCTATTGCATGTTGTAATCATTGGAAGGGGGTTGGGTTGCGAGGCAGAAGAGGTGGGACTGACCTGTGGAAGATGGCTGTGTGCTGCAATAGTCGCATGTCAAATGCAATGAGCTTGGCGTCTGAGGATCAAGGTTCTTGGAAGCCTGTAGCGGTCAGCCTTTGTCGCGAGCTTGGTGCGGTGAGAGAGGCTGGATGGGTAAAGCAAGCTCAGAATATGTAAGAAATTGAATATCATAAACTCGACGCCGTTAAGAAACCCCGGCGAGGGTCTCCGACGCCGAGCTCAATCGCAAATTATGTCATCCTAGGATGGGGAAGTATGGTGTGGAGGTTGGAGGCTTACCAGTGGAGCTATGGGTGTCGGATCGAAGCTGTCGGTCTTCAGATTAGTGCATCGGAGCGGCAGGTGCAAGCGTGCATCGCATCACCGTGTACGCAGCGCATGATGTAGACCAAGGCGATCGCGAGAGCCGTGTTGGAGACGACACAAAGTCTCGCAACGGTCGTCAAGAGCAGAGCGAACAGTGTAGAGTTTGCGGTGCTGGTGAGAAGACAACGGAAGTCGCGCTCGCAGAAAACTTTAAGGACGGCGCTAGTGCCAAGGCGCCTTTCGCTTGTGCACGGCCCCGGCACCACAGGGCACGCGAAATTCGTCGCCCGATCATCAGCCATTTACTTACTCCCGACAAGAACATCAACACCGAATCCTATTTCCGACCGGTACGCACTCGACGCTGCAACACTTGACGTCTCTCGTAGTCTAACATTTAATTGCAGCACATACCGACGAAATGGGTGACGCCGAAATCACAACGAGCGCCTGGAGGCTGGTCGAGGTCGGCCGTGTGGTCCTCTTCAACGAGGGTCCATTCGAGGGCCGTCTCGCTGCCATTGTCGAGATCATTGACCACAAGCGTGTATGGAGAATCCGCGATTCGGGTGCTGTTCAGCGGCTCACAGAGACATAGGTCCTCATTGATGGTCCCTCAGAGAAGGCACCCATTCCTCGCCAGGAAGTCGCGCTCGCCAAGCTGTCTTTGACACCCATTGTCATCCCCAAGCTTCCCCGCGCCAGCGGTGTCGGCCACGTCGCGAAGAAGTGGGAGGAGCATAAGGTCCAACAAAAGTTCGACGAGAGCGCATGGGCCAAGAAGCGTGCGGCTATGCAGAAGAGGCGGGGACTGAACGACTTTGAGCGCTTCAAGGTCATGAAGATGAGGAAGCAGGTACGTTGCCCCGTGTATCTGTGCCCCCAGAATCGACAATCTAGGGTGCATGTGGCACATTGGATGCGACGGAAGAGACGCAGGCTAACACGATGCAGGCTCGCTTCGAGGTCCAGAAGACCTTCGCCAAGATCCGCGCCAGCGCAAAGGCATAGGTAGTCTAGATGCTGTCGGGAGACAGGCGTTGCGGTGGTCGCTGCATGCAGGTGAGGGAGAGGCATGACGTGCATTTCATGAGCATTCCGAAGGCGACCTCAAAGGCATTCAAAAATTCAAGACCTGGTTTCGGGTGAATAAGTCCAATGTTTGGCACGGTGCAATTCGGTTTGGGACAGGTTTACTCGGCTCTCGCATGCATTCCACATGTAGCAAGAGAGTTCAATCCACAAATTCATGAACACACACGAAAAGTGCAACTAGAATTGCAATTTGATACCCTTCCCCCTTTGAAATGTCTTCTTGCGTGACATGGGCGACCTGAGCTTGAAAGCGCTCTGAACGAGTGATTGCCATGGTTCGTCATTGCCAGTTGTGTACTGAGAGCTGCCCGCGCTAAACCGCCCACAAATCATTTTTGGAAGCTCCGACCCCAACTCCGCGAACGTCGATATTGCAGCACCACCAACACCTGTAGTCACCCACAAACCGACAAAATGGCCAACCCCCGCATTGAAGAGCTCCCCGACGAGCCCGAGAAGAAGAACGTTCAGATCGAGGAGGATGAGTCGAGCGACGAGTCTGAGGGCGAGGAGGGCGAGGTCAGCGTGCCCGCGGGCTCCTCCGTCGCTGTCCACTCCCGCAACGAGAAGAAGGCTCGCAAGGCCATCGCCAAGCTCGGCCTGAAGCACATCGACGGCATCACACGCGTCACCCTCCGCCGACCGAAGAACGTGAGTGTTTCTCGCGCAATGGGTCGATGAAGCCGCAGCCCTCAAGTCAACAAACAAGGGCTGCGGGCAGCACCAATGCATCTTCCCAGCAACCAGACTAACACCCCTTCTAGATCCTCTTCGTCATCAACCAGCCCGACGTCTACAAGTCCCCTTCAAGCAACACCTGGATGTGAGTAGCTGCCCCTCCATGGCACCTGCCACTTTTGCTGACCCCGCACCAGCATCTTCGGTGAGGCCAAGATCGAGGACCTCAACTCCCAGGCTCAGGCTTCCGCCGCCCAGCAGCTTGCTCAGGCCGAGGCCGCATCCCACGACCACGCCGGCCACGACCACGGCGACGAGGCCAGCAAGGGCAAGGGCAAGGCCGTCGAGGACAAGAAGGACGAGGAGGAGGAGGATGACGATGAGGAGATTGACGACTCTGGCCTTGAGGCCAAGGACATCGAGCTCGTCATGCAGCAGGCCAGCGTTTCGCGGAAGAAGGCTGTCAAGGCCCTCAAGGAGAACGACAACGATATCGTAAACTCCATCATGGCGCTGAGCATATAGGCTGCTCCAGTCTAGGTGTCTGGGTGTAAAAGGTGGATGATGATTTCCAAGGCATCGCGGAGTCGAAAGACTACCCGCCTGCTCATGTAAAAGAATCTATCAGCATGAATCTTCACGAAAGATCCGTGTGGCCGTCCTTGGCCCTTTCGAAAGCTTTGGTGCCCAACGAGCTGCTATTCTGTCGACGCATGTGAGCGGTTTGCGACTAACTCAAGTAGAAACTTGCCAGTTGCAAGACGTGGAAGACATTACAGGGAGTGACCAGGTAAGGACTAGCACAATTCAGCTGCAACACGTCATGTGTAAGTCATTGGATGAGAGATTGCATCTACCCCTTGAGGTCTTGACCCGTCTCCGTTGGAGAATTCCTCTTCAAGCTTGAAGCACCGGAAGTAGCTTCGAGATTGATCTGCGGATGAGGTGAGATATATCAAGCATATCTGCTAGCGGGCGATCATCAGATTCTTAACGTGGCTGTATCCAGATGCGTGCACGTGGAAATTAGCTTAGGCACTCGAGGCTCTTTCTGACATGGGCTGTTGGTAAGCCGATTTCAGCCTCAAGGGTCTATCCGCATGCGCGTGTCAAGAACCAGTGAGAGGCCCTACGGGGATTAGTGTCGACAAGCCCCACTGCCCAACCTCGAACGACAAAGAGCCATCGCTGAAGAATGTCCGAGGCCACTAGACCTTCTACGGGCCGAACAACCCGGGAGGTAGGTTCGTCGTCGTGCTTATGCCTGTGGCTGATGAGATGAATGATGAAGGTTCGTTGTGCTCGAGGACATTGCCAAACATGGAACGCAAAGCGCTCAGTTGCTCAGCAGCGCATTGATCAGGCATCTCTCGGAAACGAGGTCATCCGGACAGCGCTCTTGTTAGCGATTGTGAATTATATGAGGATACCAAGGTAACAGCGGTGAAGTTGGAGAAAGAACAGTGCTCAGCCACAAGCTAAAACAGCCACAACGCACGAATCCGACTGTCCCGGTTCCTTGGATCATCAGCACACAGACATTTAGACGTCAGCCTCAGTCTCACAACGACTGATTCTGCTTAGCTGTTCCTGGTCCCGTTGACATATCCAGATATACGACGGGAATTCGACTTTCCGAACATGTTTCGCAGTCTCCGTTGGAATTGCGCCGGTCTGATCAACTTCACTTCACTACAACATCCAGCTCAGCTACGACGCTCTGTGTTGACCTTTAGCATAGCACTAACTCCATAGGCCGTTTCATCCGCACTGTCAACGGCGATGATCTCGTTTTAGACGTCGTTACGGACCCACTTTTGCCCACAAGGCTAGGACGGGTCAAACACACGGCCAATGAGCGATCTTCCCATTCTCTCGGCATCAGATCTGTGGTTAGTTCCATCATGGTATCCCTACGGCAGCTCCTTGACTCAGGATCGATCGGGCCGCTGGACACCCCAGCAGGTCGCATAGCCCTGATATACGACCCGTAATCTGACTACATCATTGTTATTTGATCTGTCGCAGACCATATGATGCAAGATGACCAGCCTATCAGAAATATGGTACTCCTTCTGTAAAATCCAATGCAAAGGCATGGAGACATCCACAAGGACGAGGCTCATCAAATTTGCCCTTGTAGGATCCAGAATCTTACTTGATGCTTCCACATTTGACCACATCCAGCTGTCTTTCCACGCTCGGCATTGACGTCTTGAACTCCCATAAGTTCATCATGACGATATGGCGTCCAAAGCTGACCTTCTCAGAGTTGCTGATTGCACAGAATCTTGGCTGCTGGCTTTTGAGCTGCCTCACGACATGCACATATTCGGTGTGTCTGGACTAATCACTACGAGAGTCGTACGCTACAGCCATATCAGCAATGGGGGATATTTATACAACTTTTTGAATATCTTCTACTGACTGATGGACTCATCGCAACAAACAGCTTCTTTCACTCTTCCGCATACATAACCTTCAGCGCCACCTGTTCAGTCAAGTACAGCTTCTCAACCACCGATACATGTCGATTCGCTCTACATCCACCACCGACACCGAGCATAGTGAACACAGCAATCCACTAGTACGCAGATACAGAGTACCACAGTTCGCCAACATGTCTTCTTCTACCAGAAAGATCACTCCCGTATGTTTCTGTGTGCTGTAAAGATTTCGACCTCAGTAATGCTGACACTGTGTCGCAATAGGCCGAAAAGGCACAATACATTCGAGCACTACGGTCTCATCAGTTCAACACTATAGTCGAATTGATCCGCGTTGAGCAGGCGTTTGCGAAGCTTGGTACGCCAGATTGCAGTGAACCCATGACATCGGCTTGTAAGAGCTACGGCCCCAGCGAATTTGTGAAAGAAGACTGACAGCACTCATCAGGGAGATACTACGTCGAATCGCACAGCTTATTGACCGAGCTCCGCGCACTGACGAAGAACTATCCATTCAGGTAAGCTACCCTCGATAAGTCCAACAATGCGTAAGGGGATCTTCTAGTGCATTGGCTGATCAACACAAAGTTCTGATGCCCTGGACGAAGCCAAGAGGCGTGTCTACGCCGATCCTGCAAGTAACCGCTCGTGGAATCTGTGTTGGTTGGTTCTGAACAAGATACAGACTGAGTACGTCTGACGACCAGCGTTATCTTGCGGAAGTCCTCGCTAATGTAACTCAGCCAACTCCTTCCGTATTATGCGCATTATCAGGCATCGCAGCCTGCCATGTGGGCAGGTCGTACGCCTTCTGCTGAGCAGATCACTCAGCTCACCAATGCGTTCGTCAACGAATGGAACTGGGCTCTTGGCCAAATGTTGGGTCGTTGGACGCAGCCACCGGCTAGGTGATTATGAGGAATGATTGGCTTGATGTTTCTTGGTGATGGCGTTGATCGCTATCTTGTTCTTCTTGAACCCGTGGCGGCTTTCTGCTGTTTGTACACTCGTTTGTATCCTAGCGCTATAGATCTCTTCAAATGTTATTTTTTCTGCATGACATGTCTAGAACTTCTCACAAGCGGGCCTCATGTCCAGCTCGTGGGTCCACAAGCAGGGCTTCTGCGAATGCAACCAAAGGTAAGTCTCACCAACCGCATCAGCGCTCATCTTCTTGCCCACCTTTTGATCCTCCCCGTCCTCGTCGACAATTGCGCCATTTCCAATCGTATGTACGACATGTACGCCCTTCTCACTCATCTCGCGAGCCAGTGTTTGCGCTAGTTGACGGACGGATGCGCGACCAGCACCATACGCAGCGAATTGTGCACTACATCGGAGCGCACCAAGAGTGCCGGTGAATATGAGCGTCTGTTTTACACCGTTAGCTTCACGCTCGATCACATCGTAGCGGAGACCATGCTTACCCCTTTCTTCTCCCCTCCATCCATCAAGCCCACCTCTCCATGATCGTTAAAGAATCTCTTCAGACTTTCCTGTGCAAACGTGAAAGCTCCACCAACATACGTTTCTAAACTTTCCTCAAATTCTTCCCTTGTCTCCTCCAAGAACGGCTTCTTGCTCGAGTGCTTGATACTGTATATCGCTAGCTTCAGCTTTAGGCCCTTGAAGCTCTCGTGTGCCTTGATATCTGCGAATACCTTCTCTAGAGATGCCTTTGAGGTGTCGCTCGGGAATGCTTCGAGCACCGCGTTCTCGTTGGTGGAGCGGACTTTGGAAATGACAGTCTGCAGGTTCTCTGGGCTTCGGGCTAGGAGCGCTATGGCGAGGTTACCATGTTTAGGAGATGACAGAATTCGTGCAATGCCCGTGCCCTAGGTCTGTGGCATTAGAGTCGTGTATATGCTGTTACGTTGGCCGGACAACTTACAGTAGCAGGACCGGCCCCGATGAGAATGGCGAGACCTGAGGGTGACATTATGAGGTTGTTTTCAGGACTCATAAAATGGTCTTGCGTAGGGGTCTCGTTGCTGTTGTTCTGCTGACCGAGGCTTGATCTTTGTTGATTGCATCATGACTGGCTATGGCGGTAGTGACGTCTACAGTGAAGATCGCTTGCTATCTCCGGAATGTCCTGATCTGGTGTTGCCGCAGAACGCGTTTCATTTTCAGTGCTACGATTGACTGATACAGATATGAAAACATAGATACACACTTAGCTGGGTAAACATGTTCTACCAAACCTACAGTATCTTTATATCCTCAGATTGTCACACTTGCGAAGTTACTATTAGTGTCTTTAGCAAGAGAGCAGGAGTTATGACGTCATCTGACATCCTTCGAGACAGATAACACGGAATCGCTCGAGTACTTCACATAGTTCTAGCGACCGCACTGAGTTACTTCGGGGAGAAATTCAGGTAATAGAATCAACCGAAAGGTGAGATTGGAGCTGGGTCTCGACTGCCCGAGCGGCAGACAGATTTTTCGCTACGAATCCCTTTCCTTCTCCAGTCTCCAGAAAAGCCTTCCGGGGATTTGGTCTCGCACGTTGTGATACTAGCATATTGGTCTTGGGAGGAGATGCGTGTGCTAGTACGCGTACAACGAAATTGGTAGGGTTCAGGCCAGTAGAATCCTACATCAACTTAACCTAAATTCGCCGTACATCCGAAGTCCCCTTTGTTCCTCACACCCCCTCATTCCTCTTTTGAAGTTCCGGTGCGGTCCAGACCTTCGCATACCCACATCAAGTCTCCAGATATGAGGATAGCTTCCCAGTCACGATATCATATGTAGTCCTACATCCTGGAAAGCCGGCATGAAGCCGAAGTGGGCTATATACACCGAGGTGACGAACGCGAAATACAAGTAGAGTTATATCATCCCGGTATCGATTAAGGATAACTATGAATAATCATGGCCTGCGTGAATCGTCTCAAGGGGTATCGTGATGATCTACTATTTCAGTTGATTCAACTCTCGTGATGGGATGTCAGCTGTTTTTCTGGCTACTAACTTCTCTCACCTGAGAGATCGAGAGATGAGTCGAGACCAACATCCTAGGATACTGGATAAACTTTGGTGTCGATAAGAAGGCGATAAGTCTGGTACTGCAGGTAAGAGACAGCAGGCGTCTGCGCCTCCCTTTTGTGATACACCCACAGGTTGGGGCAGTTCTCCTTGTATTTATGGGTACGCGCCGGGGCTAGCATCTATAGCACTTGTGACGTGCATGAAAAGGCCATGTGCTCGGATCCCTACTAACGCTAATCGAAGGACTGACCAGGATATCGATTGGATGCTAGGTACGAGCTAACAGCGGATATGAACAAGGGCGAGGTCGCTACCTCTGTAAGGAAATCTAACCTCTTTCCTAAGTCCTCCTCCTACATAGGATCGTCGATAGCCTCTTCGCAGGGGCGCAGCCCATAACAATCACAAGAGTTGCGAAAGTCTCGATCCGGCATCCCCTGTCCCCACCTCGTGTTTCACTCCAGGTTCTGCTCACCGATCAGCAACAACAAACGAGACCTCCTCATTGGAACATCATGTCGTCACGGTCGCCATATGCGCTCTCCTCCATGTCCATACAGTCGGCAGCTTTTCAAGCGAGGGCGTCGACCCGTGCTGGCCCACAAACTCATCCTTATCCCTACGGGTGCTCTTCCGCTAGGTTCGGTAAGATCTCCCGCATCCATAAGTACCAACGATTTGCTTTCGCGAACAAAGCTGCTGCTGCTGCTGCTGCTGCTGCTCCTCATATATAGACGTTATCGGATACTCTGGACGTAGGAACGTGTGCAGGCTGGAAGAAAACAGGAGTCGCCACGAATCAAAAGAGTTAGCTCGGCATTTGGGGCCGATATATTGAACGCCACACGTCCTGAAAATCGTTCCAATTCGTGTGCGAGATATGCTTATTCGACGAAACGAATACTTCTTTCGTCCCTAAGGACCAGGGCGTCCCGTGGGTGACTATGGGCAAGGCGTGGAAGAGCAATGCCTAACACGGCAGCGCTCGCGACCACGCGCGTTTGCATTGCCGAAAGATATAGTCTCGAGACTGGGCGAGCTTGCCCGGTGTATGCGCCACATTGTAAGCGCGCGAGCATGCTCTACTTCACCGACTACACGCTAGTAAGACTGGGCCGAACGTCTTCTCGAGCCTGTGCCGCAATTTAGCAATAAATCCTTGAAGCTCGCATGTATTGCAATAAACTCATAAGAACGGCGCACCAAACAATGTCGCCTAGGAGTTCATTTATGACGTCGAGCACACTCAGCTCAGCTGACGTTGCAAGCAGGCTTTCACCAATCCAAACTTCCTTCAGTGCGCGATCAACATGGTATCTAAATGCCTATGTGCTCATTCCAAGCACAGCCAGGTCTAGAGCGCCGTTAATGCTGAGCCGACGTTTATGCTACCCCGTCTATCGGTGGCATGACAGCCACCTGCGAATATAGGGTGAAATTGTCATATGGATACACACGCATCCCGATGCAGATATTGATCCGACCCCACAACGACCCACGTGTGTAATTACGGGCGTACATGTCTCCAAATTGACAGTGTGCGTTTTGCCGGATCCTCAGAAGTTGTCAGAGCCAAGCCAGGTCGATTTGAACGTTTTGCAAGCGACGAAGTTTGGATGCAAGGCTGAGTACAAAGAATCACGTCCTACTTAGAACCGAGCTAGGCGCTATAAATGGTGTGTTTCCCTAACATACGATGAGCCGACTGGCTGCACATACATGCAATAACTACGCCCATTATGAAGGATCCAGCGAATCCAGCTGATCCACCCTACAATATACGACACTAAACTGATGCGCAGTTGAAGCGTCCATACTAAGGCATGTCATGAGGCTACGGTAAAGATACCACCCTAGTCATGCATAATGCAGTACGCCCTTCTCCAAGCGCTCTAGCTCTTCACTACATGCGTGTGACAAGCGAACGGCCCGGCAGCGGATGTGTCATATTCATATCAGGCAAAGTCGAGTGCGTTTAGCGGTGAGCTAGATCTCGATACGGGAGTACCTTCCACTACACATAGGTTTTCCGTTAATCGGAAATAAGGGCGGCTAGGAAACGTAGCATGCCTTGACAGTGAGCAAATCGATGTATGATTCGATCGATCGAAGGTATATAGGTCATGGCGCAATCGCCGGAGATGCTTGCTACACGTAGGCCGTATTCCTCGGAATTCGACTACTGCAACCCTGGGCCCAACAGATGCGACACTAGGATGTGTTGGCATACATAGTAGGAGGGGTGCAGACACTGTAAAAGCCGAGATACACCAATAGCAAAAGGCCACCCTCGTAAGCTGAAAGCTCGGCAGTGCATCTTTAACCAACCTGGCCAATAAGGCGCATATGTCGGCAGACCCTGAGCATTGCGCAGCTCAACGTGGTCGCAGATGGGCGGTTCCGAGGCGTTTTGCATTGGAGCTGCAGCGTGGCCCGGACCACCGCTGCCCGTATTGCCTCAGCAGCACGCTATCATACCGTCTCGTTGCAGAGAGATTCCGGTGAGCCACGGTCGCTGTCATGTATGGTAGTCGATATGTTGGATTATTGGCTGTTCCTCAAGTACGGTGAAGGACCAAGGCTCAATACTGAGGTACATGAACCCTTGCCATCATTTTCGCAAATCGCGGGATTGGTCTCAGATCAGAGATTAGTGCAATCGATCACATGCTGACATGGCGCGAGTTGTGGATGGAGATAGGATCTGATGAAGATATCAGGCCTGCCCGTTTCAACCCACTTGCATATGCAAGAGCTGGGCGAATAGTGACCACTTATTTGCATCAGCCCTATGCCATGGAGCTTACCGTTGTTAGGCACAATGAGGAAGTGCCTGCTCATAATCGGCCGAGTTTCTTCAAGGGTCGCATGCACACATCGAAGTTTCCATGTGCCGCACGAACGTCTATCGAAAT